GACGGCCCACCCGTTTGAACTAATAAAGTGCCAGGGGCCTAAGTGGTCACCTAAATATTAAAAAAAAAAAAAAAAAAAACATACCATACTGATCTTGCTATCAATATTGTAAAATTTGCCCTATAAAAAAGGATTGTACAAAATTTGTCTAAAATTTGAGTTATGTATGTGAAAAATGTTTTAAAAAGTGCCATTCTGTCTAATTTTTGTTTTATTTCAATTAAGACATAAGTTAGACAAAAAATAGACAGAATGGTGCATTTTTAGACATTTTTCACACATGTAACACAGATATTAACATTAGACAAATTTTATGAAATCCTTTTTTATAGAGTGTAGATCAAAAGAAAAAAAGAAATGCTCTACTGGTATAGCATTCACATGATTTATCTTTCTTATCGGCACAACAATTGACATTTTATTTTTCTGATCTACTCAATTTCTTGAAGCATAATAACATGATAACGATCATGTCAACTTCTACTGTGTTGATAAGGGAGATAAATCATGTGGATGCTGTGTCGGTATATCGTCTGCCATCATGACATTCTCATTTTTCACTGCGGAGAAATAAGCCAGTAGATCTCCGGCTATATGAGGCCCTTCGGACCTTCATATTATATAATCAGGAATTTGCCTCTTATTCCTGCCGTTGCAGGGAATAAAAGGTAAATCCCAGCCATTGGGGCCCGAAGGGCCACTAATGGGTCAAAGATCTACCAGTTTATTTATTTTTATATAATATCATAACGGGCTTTACGACTCATAACCACCACTTTGATCAATAAAAAAATCGAGTTTCTAGCAATATTTGTTATTTCCTCGGTAACGTTTGTTATTTCCCTGGAAGTTCGGAAAAATAACAAGTGTTGCCGAGAAATAACAAACATTGCTAGAAACTTGATTTTTTTACTGATTAAATTAGTGATTATAAGTTGTAAACCCCTGTCATGCGATTATATAGAAATGTGGAATAAATAGTGCTTATTCACTTTTAATTTGATTGATTTAGTGGTGATGATTATAATAGTAGATATATTTACCTTAAGTTATTCTATCTCGGTAAGATTATAAATTATCTGCCATTTCTCATTAATATTAAGTTACTTAGGTTAATTTATAAAATAATTGCAATGTATGCACTTCTTATCTGGCAGCCTATTATGATCGGGTATACAAAATAACTTGGAGTTATTTTGTAGTTGTTTTTAATATAAAAAACCAATAACTATTATTAATTTCTTATTTGTGCTGATTTATGATTTTTATAACTGAATTCTGAAAAATTATATACAAAATATTGATTACATATAAATTTTAGTTTTATCTGAAATAAAGTTGTATAGTGCACTTGCAAAGTTATCTGCTAAATGCTTTTCCATCAATCTGGTCTTTAATTTAAATGAATAAAATTAACATGTGAATAATAATATATCAAATCACTAGAAGTATTTGAATGTTCAATGAATATTCAATGAATTTATCCAGATATTAAAAGTTTTTTATGGTCTCCTATTGGTCGACATATATGTATATAATTTGAATATTGTTTATTTGGGCTATGTTTTATATATATAAAAATTTAAATTTTTTAACTTAGCTTTTGTAACTCGGCTGGGTTATGAGAACCAAAAAATTAATTTTATATGGCCTAACATTTAAAATATTTTTTCATCCGCCTACCCGGATTTTATTGTTATTTATTAAAAAATTTTATGTTTACAGCTATTATCATAATTCCTGAAACACCTGATAAAAATTAGCTGAATGATTGTTACTGATTTTGGTATGATCCATTATAATAAAAATAATAAAAGCCATTATGACCAATTATTATAACAATAATGTCCATGTTATTAAATTTTCGTTCCAACGCTTGCTTGGTGTGTTTAGTTTGTATGAAAGTTTATGGAAAAGACTGCTCGTGTCAAACAATAAACCTTAGCAAGAAATCTAAAAAATGGACTGAATATAAATTAGACTTTTATAACAAATATATTGCACGAACAGGCACCGCTATTAAAAAAGTTAATATGATCATGAATTTGTCAACTGGTTTAAAAATGAATCTCAGGTTAGAATTCCAAGCAACCAAGATATTATTAATATTTGTCGGGAATGCGTGAAGGATTATCAAAGTAAAAAATTTTATATGTTTATATTTATTTATATATTGAATACTAACGATTAAAATTAGTTCAAAAATGGGATCCAAAATTAAATGAAAGTATCAAAGTGAATTTAAGAATTAAAGATTGTCCATTTGAAGCAGATAGTTTGCTAACACCTAAGTGTTTAGCAATTTGTCTAACTGATAAGCCTTCTAATTTTTTTCAACGATTGCCAGCGAAGGTGCTTTGTAAATATCATTTTTAGAGGTATCCCAAATTTTTTAAAAATAAATTAGAAATGAAAAATAAATAAATGCCTTTGTTTGAACGAAAATGGATCTTTCCAAAGAATAGGAATTGAAATTCAATTCAATTTTTTAAAAACGAATTTTCATTGAAAATAATTAAAAATGAATAAAGGCTTCGTTTAAACAAAAGTAGATATTGCTAAAGAATAGGAATTGAAATTTTGCACAATTTTTTATAAATGAATTTTCATTGAAAATAATTAGAAATGAATAAAGGTTTCTTTTGAACGAAAATGAATCTTGCCAAAGAATGGGAATTGAAATTTTTATATTAACTCAAAAGAGAGATAGATACTACATATTATAGTCACTGAATAGCAAGTAATTACTATAATGAAATTATTTATTATAGTAACTTGTTATAGAAATCATGCCAATTTTAATGCAAACTAACTTATTGCGGTATTTAGAATAGTAAGTTTCGTAACAAAATTATTTACAATAACTCAACTTTAACCTCTTATTCATAATAGCGAATAAATCCTATAAAAATTTTTTCTAGTAGTTTATGAACAAATCATGTTAATTTAAATACAAACTAGCTTACCTTGAATACTTAATGTGGTTATCAGAATAGCAAGTATATTCTGTAATTGAATTATTTACAGGAAATCACAACAATTCCAATACGAATTAATTTAGGGAATAATGAAATATAATTTTTAAGTAAATAATGATAGAAATCATGGCAATTCCAATGCAAACTACGTAGTCATAATTCAATAATTACTAAAATGGGAAGTACCGATAAGTTTTGTAAAATTATTTGCAGTAATTTATAGTAGAAATCACGTAAATTCTAATACAAACTAACCACATATTGTAGTTACTTAGTTTGTAAGTTCTATAATAAAATTATTTATAGTAACTCACGATAGGAGAATAATTTTAATGCAAACTCAAACTTAACTATATTTATATTCACAAAATTGTGAATAAGTTCTGTAACAAAATTTTGTTAACGTTCATATTTAATGTGTTTACAAAAAAAAATTTTCTTAGCAATTTCCCATTATTATTAATACAAAATTCTACAATTTGAGAATTGCACTAAAAATTACACTATAATTAATATGTAACAAAATCTATATAAGAACATAAACTAACAAAAACTACAATTTCAGGTCAATTTCCAAAGTATATTGCTTAAGACGATTAATCCAAGGTGGCCTATTCTTGATAACAGTTCTCTTTGTGCTGTAAAGAACCTGCTCTTGGTAAGAGTCATATATTTCCTTCAGTAAAACAAAATAAAATTTGATATCCGAATTATCATTCTTATTAATATATTTTTCCAACCCATTCTTTACGATAGGGTGACTCTCAGAAATAGTCATCTGGAAGAATGTGTTGGGAGAAACGAATGCATTAAAAAACGCATTATTCTTTTAAGTTGGAATACAATATATGTTAGAAACAATTTCACTAATGTCACTAAACAGCCATTTGCCCCAAGTGGGTATTGATAGTTTTGAATTATTCACCCCGAAGCAAGAGACAGTTGTTTCGAATAAAGGGCGAGTCTTAAACGATCCTCCATTCAATAATTTTCTGTGAGCGATCCACTCGAATATAGCTTATCGATGAGCTAGCTTTCACAAAATTCTCCAACTGGACTTTATAATTATTTAGAAGTTTATCCATTATCTCTTCAGAAACATAATCGGACGCAAACTCTAGAGTTGACATTGAGTAGAAAGGTTTTCCCTTCTCTATAACACTTTTCTCTTTATCTGGCCTAGTTACTGCGGAAGATGTTGACGTAGAGGACTTTCCAGCATTAACTTCTACTTCCATTATTTCCACATCTTCCACACTTTCATTTCCTTCCTTTCTATCTAGTATGTTCGTGCAGATATGGACGATTTTATGACTGGTGCTATTATCATCTGTGGTCTCACCAACAAAATTTAACAGATTATGGTCAACCGAATTAATTGCTCTTTTAAGAAGATCTTGCTGAGTATCATTGAGAGCATAAAACAAGGTAAACCAAGAAATTCTACCCCATTTATTGTATAATTTTCAAACATATTCTTGATTAAGATTTTGGAAAAGCTGAATCCTGTATGCATCAATCTCTTCCCAGGACCATACTGGCATGTACCGAATAGTTGTTCCAAGTTTGTCAAAGCTTCTGTAGTAGCGTTTCTGTGGCGAACAGACGAGAATTGTCCTGGCGACAAATTCCTAGGGATATTATGGTCCCAAAAGACCATGGTCCGGACCGGTCTTTTGGACCGGTTTAAGTAGTCTTTGGTCCAAAATTTAGGACCAGGTCCGGACTGGTCTTTAATCAAATTATATAGTTTAATAAATTTATATTGTCATT